CTCCTCGTTCGGACCCTCCCACGACGCCTTTCATGCCTCAAAGTGTCCAAGACCTGGCCGTAATCAGATGCATTTAGAAAATAGAACCCCGCCAGCCTTTATGGAGCAGGTGCTGTGTGTCAGACATTGGGCAGGTGTGTGTTAGACGAAAGTCGCCTCATCCCGTTATTTGCCCATCTACTCAGCGCGTAGAGAGCTCCTCTTGTGTCCCAGGACCCAAAGTTGGCGGACACAGGTGGGAGATGTAACGTTTTCAGGAGGCTCTGGCTCCGCACAGGAGACTTCCGGAGTAAACAGAGGTGTTAGGTGCAAGCACAAAGGGAAGTCCTGGGACCGGTTTCTAGCACCCAGGCCCCACCCAGGTCAGGGTTCTCCAAGGAGACATCCCTGAGCTGAATGTCAAAGAAGTAGGAGTTACCCAGGTGACTGTCGGTGTGGCAGCATGGGGGAGGTGGAGATGAGCATTCTAGACGAGGAGGAGGATGAGATGAAAAACGCTCAGAAGGGTGTGGGAGTTGGGGTGGGGGGTGTTGAGTCAACTGTGTGGCCTTTTAGAGATACCACTCTGACAGCTTTGTGAAGGAAGACCAGATCATGGAGAAACTGGGCTTTCTTGGGAGGCCAGTGGGACTCTGGTGTTGGGGGAAGCCTGGTCCTGCTGGCCTTCTGGAGAGAGTCCTTTGGGACCCCATGGGTGGTGGGTTTGAAGGTTAGGTCAGAGGAGAGGAGACCAGGAAGGCGGTTTTTACAAGAATAGAGGTGAGAGCGTGGGGCTGCGTGGCAGTAGGGATGGAGAGGAGGGGACAACTTGAGAGAAATTATTTAGGAGAAGGGGGAGGCGCCTTTGGGAGGCAGGGTGGGTCTAGGATGAGTGGAGCTTGTCAGTTGGGAAGCCCAGGGCAGCACCCGCTGAGTTAGAGAATAGAGGGGGCGAACTGGTCTGGGGCGCCTGAGGGATGAGGAGACCAAGAAGACAGGGCTTGCAAGTGATTTTTTTTTGCCCTCTCTCTCGTGAATCATTCTTAGAAAGAGATTTTGTATGAAGAACATATAGACCAATAGCAAAATAGTAGATCCAGGCTGGGGCCTTGGCATTCATGAGTGTGACGGAGGAGGAGCGGGCAAGGAGTTTGAAGAACCAGGAGAAAGGGGGTGGTGTGGGTCCAGAGAGAAGGCAGTCCCTGGAAATGTTCTCCTGCTTGGGAGAGCCAGAGGGTCATCATCGGACAAAGAGGAAGGTCCCTGCTGAGGTGATTGATACAATGGCTCCAGCAGTGGGCTCAGGCGCAGCACACAGACAGAAACGGACAACACTCCATTCTGTTGACGGTTGGATCCCTGTGAGTCGGAGCAAACTCGATGGCACCCCTCAACAACAATGACAACAACAACAACAATAATAACAACAGCAGAGTTTTATAGTGAGAGGGTGACAGAAGCCAAATTGGCGGGGTGGGGGTGGGCACTGAGAACGGAACAGAGATGAGGAATACAAGTGAATTCATCTAGGTGATGTCACCAAGTTCAGATGCGAGGGAAGAAGAGTCAGATGAGGGGTCAGGGCAGCTGGGGCTGGCCCACCGGGGACAGCAAAGGTGTATGGCTTCCCTTCTTCCCCAGGGTCTCTCGGATGTGTGTTTTCAAGGATCTCCTGGAGGTTCTGGGTCTCCCAGAAGCTGTAAGGGGAGTAATCCAGCCCTCCTGGGCTGGTAGGTGGGAGATGTTCTCCTGGGAAAAGCCCACCAGTCAATTCTGTGGAAGCTGGGGAGCTCAGGGATAGCCCGGATCGAAGATGGAGTAAGCCTGAAAAAAATAACAATGAGATTCTCGTTGTAGGTCCATGGACCCATCTGTCCACGTCCAGGAGCAGGAAGAGGTGTCTGGGTTAGGAGACAGTGAAGTAGGTTTCAGAGGGTTGAAGATGGCTGTTAAATACCCCGTTGATTTCGGGTCACATCGGTAGAAGTGCGTTCTTGGTAGGTGTGGTCGAGTCAGTTCTGACTGAAAGCAACACTGTGCACAACAGAAGGAAGCCGGGCCCAGCCCCGAACTGTCCCCACAATCAGTGCCGTGGCTGAGCCCACTGTTACAGCCACCACGTCAATCCATCTCGTAGAGGGTCTTCCTCTCCCCCGCCCCCTCTCCTTTACCAAGCATGATGTTGTAGTGTTTAGAAAACGGAAGGCAACATTTCTTCTGGATTAAACCAGACAGAGGGCTTCGATTTAAGAGCAGCATTGGCACATTGGGTGTGTCCAGAGCAGGGCAGCCAGGAGGAGGAGGCAGGGGATGGGGTATCCTGCTCTGTGAAGAAGGCTGGGGCTGGTCAGGGATGGCTGGAGGAGGGAGACTTCGGGAAAGGATCTTGGACTGTAAATTTTTAGAGGGCTGCCGCAGGCAAGAGACTATCTAGATGGATCCTGAGTGGTGCTCAGGCTTGCCTGCCTTAGTGTTTCTCCATGCATCCA